CTTAGTTATCTATTTTTTTTCCCTAGTGGATATTATTTCTCCGTCTGTAACATATCAAGCTCTATTATGCATAAATATAGATTATATATTAATTAATATATATATCAAATTCCATTATGACTAAATATAAATTATATATTAACATTATTTTTATTTGATATTATTTAAGGTTAATACAAAATATTAAATTAATGTTGTTTTATTTTACAAAATAATATATTATTAAAAAATAAGTTTTTTAAACTTTAAAATTCTATTTGAAAATATTTCATATTATTTTTAATTGATTTTAATACAAGATATAAAACTAATATTGTTTTAGTTAATATAATGTTATAATAATTAATAAAAATTGGGATTTTAAAAATTAAAAATTATATTTTAAAATGTAATGTGATATGTTTTAAAAAATTAATGGAAGTTGAATGTAAAGATTTTAAATAAATGATATTAAAAAATATTAATATTTTATTGATAAGATACTCAATGGGTATCTAATGAATGAAAATGATATTAAGTAGTGAGTCTCTCAAATTAAATTATAGTAAAAATATTAATATTATATTGGTGAGATATCCTAAATGTTATTATCTCAACGTGAATAAGATATTTTTAAATTGGTTATTATGATCAACCAAAATAAAAGTTCAATGAATTTTTGTATATATTAAGCGTTTTTATAGTGTGCAAAATAGTATGATAGAATTTGGATAGCATTCTGGATAAAATCTTAACTAGGATAGCAGACCAGCAAGTTAAGTTTTTATATGTTCTTTCATGGATGATCCATCAAACTTCATATGTTATTTCATTAAGGTTTTAAAATGTTCTTCCAATTGGTTTTTCAACTAACAAAGATCAAACATTTGAAACAACATAAGTTATGCTGACACTTCCCTTGCCTATATATTAGGAATAGTTAGGAAATTTAATTGGGATTTATTAAAATCAAACCCGTAGATGTGGTGAGATTCAGACCCATACTTACTCGTGCGTACGCTTTAGAGTAAAACTTTCTGATAACAAAGATTCTGTTTAGCTTCTACCAAAAGCCGCGTTGTTTTCCAAAGATAATCAACTCGTTAAGTGTCAACTGTTTTTGATTAGATAAAAGTGTAAACTCGTTATGTATTTATATATGAAGTAATTAAAGTCATTTTATTTTCAAAAACATGAAGAAAGAATATACTTTTGAAGAAAGAAAAAGACGAAAAGAACAAAGTTGCCCCACATAGTTAACAATGCAAATATAGTTGACCGAGTAAACGAAAAACATGCCAAAAGTCAAAAGAAGACGACCACAATTAATCGGATCCACACAAACTAAATCTTTTATAATAACTTCAAGTCTTGAAGTCTTCAAGTCTTCTTCTCCTCAAATTATATAAAGATGCGTGAAATATAAACACAGTGAACTATGAATACCAAGATGTCGTTGTATAGTATCTCTCCCATCATTTTCTTTTTTCTTCTCATATTTTTGCTTTTAACAAATGGAACAACCCTTGCAGCCCAAACTGAACACCGCAAACTCAGTGAGCCTTTTACTTATATACTCGCTAACGGATTTATGATTTTCCTTTACTATATATATCAATAGATAGCTTAGAGAGAAACTTTCACTGAATCATTAAAGGTTTCATGCATTATATGTCATGTGTATTGTGATGATGGCGCAGAAGAGATCGTGATAATGAGGAGGAACTTGAAAGGCATTGGAGAAACAGGCTCCAACATTAAAGTTGGAGGAAGCAGGACGGAACATGCCGCGCAGAAAACAGATCAAAAGAAGGCTAAAATCGGAATTGTTCAAGGCCAAAAACGAGCGTGCCTCTACTACAACAGATGTAAACGTGGCGGGTGAAGTCTTGGCTCTACAACTTCCTGCTCCCCATCCCAAGCCCAATCTCTTCCAACAATACTCATTCCTAAGGCACATGCATGTCTCAGATTGCTTTTTTTTTAAAGTTTTTTTATATTGTCTCGGATATTTTTGTCTGTGCTTATGCAGTTATAAATGTTACATATATTTACATGTTGTACGTCGAAGTTAGTTTGTCATTTGTATGGTCCTTCACTTAAATTTTAAATTTAAATAAAATCTTCATTTGGAAACTCGATCGTCTTATTATCTTACTCCGTATTACATTCTTCAAAATCTTCCATCACATCCCTTCTATTTTCATCCTATCCTTTGTAAACCTTTGATATTATTTTTTTCATACCCATAAAAAGTACTTGATACTACACTGCGAAGTGGCCAGGTTTTCTTACACTTAACATAGATAGAAACCTTTTCTCTTATTTTCTTTATGTTTCTGATTTCTCCTAAAATTTGTATAGTCGTTACAACACCAAACGAAAAATACATCAACAAAACATAGCCACATGCTATCTC